GCTCTCATTGCCTAGAAGACAATCGGCAATCGCCAATCCCAATCCAATCCGCGTCGACAATTGCTAGTCCGATTCGGCCTTAAGACCTGAACGATTAAAACAACAATTCGACACATTATGCATTTTTTTTTATTTAGCAATTTAGCTTCCTCGACAAGGGGATTTGCGATTCCGTGGCAGTCTGCAATTTTTCGTTCACGCAGAAAATTCCTCACGATCTCCTCTATAGATCGACACCTCTTCTCCCCCGCAAGTTTGCCCGAGTGATCCGCGTGTCTCTCGATCTATTGCCGATAATATCCATAGATTACGACAAAAATGAAAGGCGTTCGCGACAACGCTCGCTTACGACTCGACGGACGTTTCGATCGGACGGTCGGATGGGCGAAAGGGTTACACAGAAAAGACCGCGACGAAGCGGTACGCCAGTGCAGCGCCGGGATGCGACAATTCTCGGAGCGAGGGGAGGCGAGTCGCGCTTATGCTCGCCCTCGCCTCGTCTCTCGACGCAACGCCGCCTCCGCCTGCAGTGACGTCCCGCCCCGTACGCTCTCGCGTCGAGAGTAAGACGTAAGTTCTGTTATATTTGTTAAAAAGGACGAACAATTAGTGTGTTTCGATGTTTGTGGGGCGGGCGTGTGTCCGTATGTATGCGCACGCGCGTGTGTACATGTGTGTGTGTGTGTGTTGCTTTACAGAGCTGTGCGCGGGACGTAGACTCTCGAGAAGACTGGTCGTAAAATCCTTGAAAATCGGATCGTCGTCTCCGACGGCGAATTACATCTAGACATTCCGGATAAAGTCTGCGAGGGACGAGGGGGTTGCCTCTCTCTCTCTCTCTTTCGCTCTTCAATATTACAAAGTAACAGGTAGATCTCTCGCACGCGTAACGCATCGTCAACGCAAAGGTCAGATCGGCAACGACGATTTACAAAACGGAGCAAAGCGCGCCTCGACGTTTTCACGTTGGTCGTATGGCTCCTCGCGATTCGTACTTGAGCCGCACTTAGAGTACTATTACATTTCGACTCGTCTCTTTCGCAAGGCCGTATCTCGATTTTACGGCAATTTCCGGTTTTTCCGTTTAAACGCTCATTCTGGTTCCAAATGGGCGTTTAAGCGGAAAGCCGAAAATTGCGTAAAATCGAGACACGGCCTTGCGAAAGAGACGAGTCGATTTGTCGTACAAACCTTTTCAAGCGCGTTGATTGGCCACAGGCTAGACGATTTCTAGATACTCGAGAACTTTCTATCCCGCAGCCAATCGACACGCTTGAAAAATTTGTCGCCCGACGAATGTAACACCCAGCCTCACGCACCTAACAAATTATCACTTAATCGCGACGTGTCGAGTTTGGAGCCTCTATTTACAGATCGACCGTGACACGTCGCTTCGAAACTTATCGTTAGAGTTAGACAATCGCGTTTGCGGCGCCAAATATGCGACGAGAACCATCCATCCATCCCTCTCTCTCTCTCGCGCGCGCGCGCAGAATCGCGACATGTTTTCCAGGAACGAGAAGCTCAAAGCGGACAGCTCCTCCTTCTCGCGGACTCTGCGAGAATTCCTCCGATTTTCAAGTTCCTCGTTCGACAGAGCAGCGCGAAAATTGTACGTCGCGCATCTCTCAGATCCCAATCTCCACATCCGGCGTGCTAAAAGACGCTAAATAAACGCCATCGATCGTTCGCACGATTTATTTAATTATTCCTCGGAATTGGAACGCCGCTCTCACTCAGCTTGAAAATAGACGCGAGAGACTAAATGCATTTAGATATGAGACACCGCGAGTAGCCTTTCGGCGGCATCACGGCGCGGCGCCCGAATCTGTTGCACTTTGGAAACAAAATGGCCAATTATTCCCGATCGTTACATCACCGATCACGTGTAAAAACGGTCCGATCCAGAAGAGCCTGAAGCACTGACGTTCGGAATAAAATTAAAACCTTAGAACTCATCAAAGTTACAGAGAGGAAAGTCCCCTATTATGAGATGGGATCCTAATATCGGAGATAGCGGGGTTAAATTAATAGGCTGATACCACCATGAATTTCTTGCCCGTGGAGCGAAATCAGTTTGGTGAAAAGTTCACCGTTAGATCGCGTAATCGTAGCGCAAAGAGATTTGCGATTGAATTTGGGTGTTGAAAACCTGCTGTCTCATATTAGAAACCTGTCCCGTAGTAAAGGACTTTCCTCTAGAAGTTGTAAATTCTTTGAATTTTTAACGTTTCAAGTTCACTCCGTGCGCCAATGCCGCGAACCTTTTCGGCTCGGAGCATTTTTCGATCTTCCCCGTGAAAAGAGGCGAAACCGCGATGTCTACATCTCCCTCACCTAATATCGCACGGCGTGCGATCTAGTTTCGAGCATCAGACGCGAGATTCGAAAGAGGGATCGGATTCGCGCGGCGACGTGCGAGTTTCGCGCTGGCAAACACAGAGCAACGAGCTCCATCATGTCATATCACACGTTTGTACATACGTATCGTGCTCGCGTTAAGAAGGATTCTACAGATGCGGAACCTTAACGTAAAACTTTTCAGAGATAAGCGGGAAAGAGTGGAGGGGGGGGGGGAGGAAGAAAAAAGCACGCGGGACGTTCCGTTCACGTCCCCCTGAGACATCTCGGCCACTTCCATTGCTTCCTCCGATACGCGCGACGACGTGATCAGGATCGCTTAACTCTCTGTCGGAGCGGCAGATTCTTGAGTAATACGTGTCGCTCGTACTCGAGTGACGATCGACGTCCGACGACGATCTTCCGAGCAATTCCAATCCGCCGCTCCCGAAGAATTAAACGGCATTCGTGCCATGTACTCGCGCGCGTATTTGAGTTCGCTATTGTTTTACGAGAGACGTGTAGCCGGCTGCGACGCGAAAGACGGAAACTCATCCCTTAAAGGCCTGCGTCCACGTTCCTGGACCAAGCTCTGGCATCAGTGGACACAGGCCTTCATGCCTATTTCTTTTCAGTTAACTCTTGCGTCCACGATTCAAGAACTGTGTCCAAGTTCTAGTTCCGAGTAATGTGTGGCCAATCAGCTTGCAGCTTTTCCGTGAAAGATGCAAGTCAATTGGCTGCACATTTCTCGGACGTAGAGCTTGGACGTAGTTCCTGGACCGTGGACACGAGGCTTTACGTCGTGTACGGAGCATCGCAAGGCCTCCCGGCAGTATTTCTTGAAAATGTCGCCCATCCTGCGGTCAGTCTGTCCTTTTTTCAGTTATTTTTTTTCTGTACTTTTTGTCCTCTCTCCCTCCTCCTCTTTCCCTCTCTTGAAAAGCGCAGATCGCGGTATCTTTGTTTCATTTTAAGTACGGAAAAAATGCAACTGGAAAGACCGGAGTTCGTTTCGCAGCGACGGAAGGTACAGTGAAAACCGATAGTCGCGTCCCCCTTTTGCCCGTCGCGATCTGGAAATTGCGGGTTTATCGAAAATATTTTCATCAGTGTTCCATTACACTTGCGCGTCCACCAGTGGGATAAAAGCCCGTATTCTAGAGGCGCATTTAGCGTCGCAAACGTGGCCGTCCGCTTCTCGTCTCTTTCTGTCTCTCGCACATGCGTACACGCATACACACACTCTCTCTCATACACACACGCACACACAGTGGTTACAAATGTATATCCATTTTGTGCAGATTGGATAAACGTGATGCGACAATCGGACGGCCGTGTGTACACCTAAACTTGCGTTTAACAAAGGAATTGTCACGTCGCCAACAAAAAGATCTTTCATTTCTCTCTTTGGCAAAGAGATTCGGACAACCGAGACGTTGTACATTGTTCCTCCTCCGCGCGCCGTGCAAAACTTAATTCGCTAAGTCGGCTGCCGTACCGTCCGTCTTTGCAACCCTCTGCTCGCTCGCTCGACTCCAAGTCCCATGCCCGGCGCTCGTACCTTCTCATATCTCGCGCGGAACGCCTCGCGTCGTTACTTTTGCGCAATCGGAAAGCGCGAATGAGCGAGAGGGAGGAAAAGAAAACCCGTGCGAAACGACCGAAGAGGAAAATCGAGAAATGATCGGTTAGTTCGTCGCTCGGCGGCTCGTAGTTTCACAGACACAAAATGCTCTAATTATCACTCTACCTCTTCTCGCGATCATTCGATTCGTCGTCGTCGTCGTCGTCGTCGTCGCAGTGTGGTCGCCCGGCTCCGTGCATATGTCTTACGAAACATTTAGTTTATACATGTATGTATGTATATATATATTTTTTATACATATATCTTTACAAACAGGAAACGATCAGACAATGGGACCCGCGGTCGCGCGGCCCGAGAACACCGAGCATTACCTCACATAAAGTCGCGAGAACGACTGGACAGAGCTTTGCCTCTCACATTTGTCTCTTATCGAACAATAAAATGTCTCTTTCATACGCCTTACGCGCTACTTACGCAACCGAAAAGTCAAGGATTACTTAATTTTTTTTTCTATCTTTAAGGAGACACCAGGTGTATGTACAGTTCCCGCACAATTGCATTTAATTGCGTTTAAGGATGCACTTTTTATAAAATACAATAATATCCATCTTTGCTCACTTTCTCTCTCTCTTTCTCTCTCGCTTTCTCTCTTTCTTTTTCTCTCGTGCGCTCTCTCTCTCTCTCTCTCTCTCTCTTTCTCACGTAATAGTATTATACTCCTTAGAGATTTCTCTTCATATTTCTCTCTCATCTCTTCCGCAGAATTATACAATAAAATATCACAGTTCTGTTCGTACCACGCAATAATTAATATATTGTTTTCCTTATGTCCCTTATTTGCGTCCTCTCGCTCTCCTTTTCTCACCCTTTCTTTCTTCCTCTCACGCAGCACACGCTCCCACGTACACGCACATGCGTTCCTCTTATCACCTGCCTTCCTCGTCACACTTATTTCTCCTAGGAGTACGCCGTGACACACAGAGATGTACTCTGGGGGGAAAAAAAGACAGTTAGCAACCCATTTTGGGACCCACAATTAGTAATCGAATTATTTGGATTGTTCGTAACTCTAATCTTTTACGAATCTTACCCCGCGTAACTAAAAATTACAATTAGCTATTCTATCTATCTCTTGTATCATTTCTCCCCAGCACACTGAGGAAGTAAGAGCGATTAAACCAACTGGCGTTCAAAAACGGAATTGGTCAAAAAGGAAAATTAAGATAAATTGGATCCAAATTGAATCAACTATAGGAGGTTCTATATAGGCCATCCAGCCTGGTATAGAACTTGGAGTTGTCTCCATAAAGCATTGACCACAACCGTTGCGCCCCAGCAACGTTTTTAACATTTGACTAATCCGGTCTGTTTCAACTGATCTACATTGTATTATTTATTGACAATTGTGTACTAAACGAAATAACTATTTAATTTTTATTTTTATTTTGCGCCGATGAAAGCACTGTGTGCCGAAACGCGTCCGCTATCTTATATTTCAATTGTAAAAGCTTTGAATTTTTAACAAATGTACATTACATTGTCAACTTTCATGCTCGTAAAAATTGGCCTCTTTCGTTTACTTGATGTTCTATCTGTATCCAAGATTTTTAAGTAATACTAATCAATTCTCTCATTTAGTTCTGTCGATATTTAGTAACGCAAAGATAATTTTCACTTACGGGGCACTAAACCGAAATGTTGCTGAAGGGCTTAGGCGAGATAATAAAAATTTTTGGTTTCTTGTCTTAGATCCAAAGGTGTAGCCGTGAGATTGTCCAAAGGAGTTTCGGTGTCTCGGCTTTACCGCCTCTATTTTACATAAAAAATAAACCAAAAGATATTTTTTTACCTTAAAGACACGTTAAATGCATACCCACTTTTGAATTGTGTAGATATTTTTTTATATTTCTAAAAAAAGAATTAACGAAATGTCACTGATTTTGACCCGTTCAGGGTGGCCTGACCCCCCTTAACTACAAAAAAAAACCGGTCAAAAATTTTCCCAGAGTAGAGTTACGAACAATCCAAGTAATTGTAACACCAAGAATGTAACACTTTATCAATTATATTGCCAGTTGGATCAACTAAAATACTAATCTTATTTATTCATCACTGGTGACTTGAAGTATACCCCTCTACTTGCCAAGTAATTCGATCACTAATTGTGGGCCCCAAAATGGGTTGCTGTCTTTTTTTCCCAGAGTATACACACGCATACGTACATGCATACATACATACGTACTTAATATAAATACATATACATATGCGTATATGTATATATATATTTTTTATTTATTTCTTCCTCTCGACGACTAATGGTTACGCAAGGTATGCTGGTTGTAGAAACACTCATTTACAACTTGTATACTTGAAGTATATAGTAATAATAACTATTACCGAAAGAGAACGATATATAAAGAGTGAGGTTGCGAAGCCTTTCCCCCCCAAAGATGGTATAATCCGATGGATCTCGTTGCTATGAATGTCCGCGTACAGACGCGTTTTAATTAAAAGAATATACAATACGTACAGTTCTCGATCTCGCTACGAGATCGTAGTATACAGTTTCTATCTTATATACGCTCTTATTAAATCATTCTAATAATGCAAATGTGTGTCCTCGCTACGCAATTTGTCCCGAAGAGAGAATGTCGTTATTTCTCAGTTTTTACACCTAGACACGGCGATCGACGCGGACTGTAAATTATTGCTTGGAATGCGAAATTTATTTGCGTTAAACGACGACATCCGCTCGTCGACATCATCCGCTAACCCTATCGTTTCCCGTGTCGAAAGACTTCGTGTGTGTGTCCCCTCCCTCCCGTGCTTCCTAAATATTGCTAAAAGAGTGTATTATCTTCCCTTTTTTTTCGCGTCTCCCGAAGGATCGTTGTCATTCGAAGGAACTGATCGCGCGCGAGTAGCAAAGAACTTCGTCAATCGGTACGTAAATCATTTTCACTTTTATAAACACTTCCTACCCCTTTCCTTGTCAACTCTATCGTCCCCGGTCCTCCAAAACACTTTTTCGTATCGTGGAGGGACAGATGACAAATTCCCTTCGGCTTTATTACGTCGTGACGCGCGACCCTCGTGTGTATACACGACGAAAGAATAATTGGACGGCATCTGTCCGCGAAGTGTTCGCGCGGCGCGCTGGAACCGAGCGCGCTCGAGTGTCTCGCGAAATTTATCGTAATCGAATGTAAGAAACGAGAGACAGAGGATTGCGACAGAGAATCAGCGAAGGATGAAACGGCGCACGGCTGAGGGGAGAGTCGCGGTAATGATTAGCGATGAGGGGCGGGGAAGAGGAGGGGGAACGATTTTCTCTAATCCTTTGACCGGCAAAGAAGCAACAAGTTACGGGCGGGAAAAATGTATTGCGCGTTCCGTTTTCATTTTCTAATCTACACACATTTTCAAACTAATGGGCCATTCTAATTAGCAAGGGGAAAATTTGCGCTCGTTCCACGACAAAAAGAAAGCACGCTGAAATCACGATGAAGAGTAAAATTCATTTTCTGAAGGCTCGTTTTATTCTTTCGTGTAACTTGTGCTTCATAATCCGTAAGTACGCGCAAGTACACGCGGGTAAGCACGCGAGAGGAGAGAAAACTAATCCATCTTTTAAACTAATACACTTTAACAATGACAATGTCAAAAGAATTAACAATGCTCGCGCTGTCTCGATTCAAATCATCAATTATCCTTTGAATGAAAAAAAACTAGTAGAAATCGAGCAGTTATAAAGGAGATTAAATTTAGAGACGCGACGGACACCTCGTCCCGACGTGCGTTCCAGCATTTAAATATTTCTACGTAAATGCACGATGGACGAGGTATAGATCTTCTTGTTCCGCATCGTTCGATGTTCTTCGTGAATGTATCAGTCTACAAATCTGATAAAAATGGAAAGTGTCATCTTGCAAAAATTAACAATCGCTTGTGCAAAGTACGTAGAGACACGCCCTAGGAAACAATAGATAAAAGAAGGGATCGCTGTATGATAAGAGAGAAGGGAAAGGCAAGGAGAAATTGATCCTTGTGTCAGAAAACAGAAAAACAAAATAATTCAGCATCACACATATCGAGAAACTCTCCTTTGCCTTTATTTTAACACGTGACAGCTCATTAAACGAAATAATAATAATATTAATAATAAAATATTAATAATAATAATAATATAATCAATGAAACTAAGGATAGGCAGAAGAAATCACATTTAAAGCGCGGGGTCGGAGTTTCTTATCTTGCATCTGTCCCTTGTTCTCATTCAAATCTCATCTTATTTCACTTCCTACGTACTCAATGTACGTAATCAACATGACGGGTATCTGTCTATCCTTTTCTCTGCATTTCAATCGATTATATATTTTTTATCCCATTGTCAACTTGTCAAGATGTAAGCGCATTCGTGGTTTCTCCATAATCGCACGCGTACGCGTGATTATACACGTTTGCTTGTCTCTCTCTTTATCTCTTTCTCTCTCTCTATCGGCTCTCTTTTTCGCATTGACTAAGTTCGGAACATCCAGAGATAGCGGGTCACATGTCGTATTGCAAAGGAGTCTGCTACACGCAGCAAGAAAGTGGATCTACTTCGAACGTTGTGCTTTTACCCCTCGCCCCTACTCTCTTTCATTGTCCTATCATTTTCTTAATAACAACGTAATAGTTTTAAACAACTTGAGCATAGGTAAAGCGCGGACGTGATCTCCGCGGGGTTCGTTCTCGCCGACTGTAATCGCGAATCCGACGCGAGTGAAAATACAACCGGAAATAAATTGGCACTGTTGGACACCATCTCGCCGTAGATCCCGCGTAAAGCCGACGTGGTGGTGGAAATAAAAGTAAAATTTGTATACCGATTAAAAATGCAAAACGTTCAGGCTCTCTAATGTTCTCTTTTGCGAAGAACGTAACTCGATCGAACGATTGGTCACGCGGGAACCCCGAAGGAGAGCGCGTCTAACGCCATAACAACAAATTATCTACAATGGTCGCATGTACATGTTCATCTTTCTCCCTCTCCCTTTCTTTCCTACTTCTTTTTCCTCTCTTTCTCTCTCTCTCTCTCTCTCTCTCCCTTTCTCTCTCTTCTTCACACGCACACGCATACGCACGCAACAGAGTATACATAAGATTACTTAGATATTAGGAAAGGTACTTAGAATATCTTTATTATTAGAGTCTGTTGTTTCTTCTTTACCTTACACACCTACTAAATGTGGATCAAAATATTAATCAATTTATAATAATAATATCAATAATAATAATAATAATAATAGCAATAGTAATAATAAAAATAAAATAATACAATAATAATAATGACCGAGATGACGATAATGAATGCTAATAAAGGACGATGACGCTGGTGATGATAATAATTATTTCTTTATTTATATATTTGTATATATGCATATATTAATCCATTAATTAATATATGAATATACTTTCTTGTTTATTTATATAGCACCTATTTACAAAGAGGTCTCCGTGCGGCTCTCTTACAGTATGTGCGTGATACTTTTATATATATACATATACATATATATACATATATATACTTTTCATAAAAATATATATACATACATATATATATATTGTGTCCGTATATATTTCTATACGAGATTCTCGCGTATCTTTATTTATTTATGCCAGTCTTCGCGCTTTTCTTTATAACGTTCCTCTCTTCTCGTCATGCCTTCGTTACTACTGGCGCTTTCGCATAATTTTGCAAATATTTTTTCTTCCACAATGCGAAAAATATACTTTTCGCTCGTTTCTTCCGTATATCTGCCTATCCGTTTTCTTCCGCGTACGTCAAGATATAATATTCGCATGTACCTTGTCCCATATCGTACGGATATCTAATCCCTTAGCTTATCAGTCCGCATATTCCGTATATATTTTCTTTCAGTATACTTGTCTCCATAACAACGATTTGCTTTGCAAATTGCGACAAAATCCTAAATTTATTAAAACTTAGCGTTCACAACGCACGTTACGAAAGATTTACTTTTAACTAAATTGCAAAAGTACATTTTTCATATAATCGTAGTGTTTTTTTTTTTACATAATCCAGTGCTCTTGGAGCGTACGTAAAAAATAAGGAATGTAAAGTGAAAGGAAAGAAGTAAATGAAACAAAAAGAATAAAAGAACTAAAAAAGTAGAATAAAATAATTGTGTAATAAATCTTGAAACTTAGAATTTTAAGTAATGACAAACTCAGAATATGCTTCTCGAGTGGGAATAACGTAAAAAATAATTCCAGTTGAAATTTGATCGTCCGAAGCGATTTGACGGGGTAAAGTGATAAGAAATACAACAGGGAATGTGTCAAAAAAATTGGGAGTCAAAGAAGCTGTGATTCCGAGCAAATTATTATTATATTACTTCTGTGTTTGCTAAAATCTTTTCTGACGAACCGAGGAGGAAATCGGCTCACAGTTCATCGTCAGCACGCCGTATACTTTCTAGTTATTATGAAAGTGTATCATCCAGCATTCGAATACAAGTTAATCCATGATCGTGCTCCACTTTATCATTCAAATGTCAGTTCTAAACGACCGACGTCAGATATGGATTATATCGCAACGAATGTGTATTGATGGAACTTTCTAGCACGTAATTGGCACGCATGATTATTGGCGAGGATTAGCACGCTGAAAAGCGTGGAGAATGTGAAACAGTCGAGTAAATCGATTGTGTATCCTCGACCGACACAGAGATTAGATTTTTAGTTGTGGGAAAACAACGAAACGATTCTTGATGATCATTGATCGGCGATCATATCGATCATCAATAATTAGACCAGCACGTAAAGACGTAGTCTACGAGGAAACTACGTCACGTCAGTCTTATTATATCAAGGAATGTAAACCAAGGTTTCCAACGCGTTATACGGTTGTACTGCGAAACAGTGTGTGTGGGTGTGTATGTGTGTGCGTGTGTGTGTGAGAGAGATTCCGAACTTTGATTAAATATCGCAATAAAAATGAATCATTCCAAATGTATCTTTAATTTCGACAATAATCAAGATATTCGGATGCAATTTATAAAAAAAGTTAGAAAGGAAAAACAGTCGTTGGATTTGTCAATCCAACAGTTTCCAAATATAAATAATTTACTCTTTACGCTACACACGTAACAACAGATTCTTTATGTATATGATAACACAAAGTATGCAAGCGCATCCTAATTGAGTTATGTATACATAGAACCGAAAGAATCGTAGATAAGAGAGGATAAAAAAGGGGGGAGGTAAAGAGATCACGGGGAAGAAAACGATCGAGTTGCGATGAAGAGCCAGCGTCATGACGTGCCACGTAGAAAGCAGAAGAAAAAGGATAGAAGGAGCGAGGCGGAGAGCGCACGAATGCTTTCCGAGGTTAATCTCCAAAGACCGGGCAGAATTACTGCTTCTCTTTAAGACCGCCCAGCAGCGCATGGCTCTCCATCGTGGCACTAAGATTACTGAGATTGCTCAGGTTCCCTAAATTCCCCAGGTTGCCTAGATTGCCGAGATTTGGCTGGTGAGCATAATTTCTGATTTGATGAAGACTAATCAGCTGATTGGGGAAGGAGGCGTTTGGATTGCTGGTAGTACCGGGCGTCACCCCGGACGACGAGGACGTCGGCGAGGACTTCTGCGAGGACGTCGTGTTGAATGCCTCGTAGAGGTACGGCCGGGACGCCGGGTGATGGCTACCAGGGTAGTGTAGGTGATTCAGCGGGTTCAGCGGGTGCTGCATCGAGGAGATAGAGTTGATCGAGATCGACGATATTGGCGTGAAGGCCGAGCTGCTGTTCGGATGATGATTCGCGCCCGGTTGAGGCGTCTGTTGCCTCGAGTCGTTCTCCAAAGATTCGCCAGCGCGATGCCCGTGTCCCGGCAGTCCCAGCATCTCCGGATTCTGATTCTGATGGTATTCCGTGTGATGGTGCGGCAATCTCTCGTGCAGGTCGCCGATCACCGCGTCCGGGCTGACCTTGGGCCAGTAGTGGTCCTGATGGTGAGCGGTCATCGCGTGTATCGACGGCCTGAGGCCCGTGCCGATGATCGGTGGTCTCTTGTCCGTTCTCTCCGCGTGCTTCTGCATGTGCTTCGCCAGATAGGTCTCCTGAGTGTAACTCTTACCGCAGTACTGGCAGATGTGCGTTTTCAGGTGCTTCGACTCCTTGTGCTTCGGTATGTGCTCGAGCAGACTCGGCTCGTCGGAGAAGCACTTGTAACAGGAGTTACACTTGTACGGCTTGTCGGTCTGGTGGCATCGGGAATGGCTCTGTAGGTTGCTCAATTGGCTGAACGCCTTCGTGCAGCCAGGATGCCGGCACTTGTACGGCTTATCGCCGGTGTGCGTGCGGATGTGCTGCTGTAGATGGCTCAGCTGGGTGAACTTCCGTTGGCAAATCTCGCAACGGTACGGCTTAATGCCCAGGTGGATCCTCGTATGCTGAGACAGGTACGAGGAGTTGGCGAACGCCTTCGAGCACTGCGTGCACTTGTACGGTTTTGCCTCGCGCATGTGAATCTGCGTGTGAAGCTGCAGATCCGCCTTGCTACCGAATATCTGCAAAAAGAAAAGAATACTTTGGTGTCAAAGAGAGCAAATCAGAGGGGAAAAAGGTGTCTACGCGAAATATCAAGGAGAGACGACGAGACGAGTCGTAATCGATCTCGGAAACTCGCGCCGATCGCGCTACTCCGATGGAGACTCGATGCTTCCTTATCTAAAATGCAAATTAATAGCTTCCTGCGCGCACGTGCGAGACACTGCGTGCGTACTTCGGACTGGTACGAACGACACACGTTCCTCTCGCACATCTCGCGACAATACACCGCGTAACGGCAGAAGAGGATCGCGGTTGGGGTACGATCTCTGTTGCCGCGCGACGTTCGCTTCCCTCTCGTTTCCACGCCGCGCGCTAACCGGACACGTCGCGCCGGTATATTTATAAATAAATAAATAAACGTAAAAAAGAAGAGCACTGCCACGGTAGCCCGAGCGTATATACGCGAGGCGGGGAGAGGCTGACCTTGTCTATCACGGCCTAGCCTCGGGGCATATCCGACCGACTGGCTTCGGGTACCGCATAGAGAGCTCCCCTCCTCCTCGTACTCTAGTATCCTCGCTCTCTCCTTCCTACCTACGTCTTGCCGCCTCGCTTTGTCTCCTCCTTTATCCCCCTTTCGCCCCCATCTCATTCGCCGCCGGTTCCTCGCATGCTAGTCCCTAGTTCCTCTCGTCTCATCTGACTTCTTTTTCCCTCTTCTCTTTTTCGTACCTCTCACCGCGACAGCGTACAACAGGACAAGCCGACGATCGACGATTATTAGCACCTCTAGTCTTGCCCCGATATATTTCTCGGTCGCGCACCGCGCTCGCATTATCGCCGCATCTCGTAATATAATACAATTCAAAATGAATATTTATCCCGGCGTATATTAATCGCGTGACTGGTGCGACGACGTGACCGTCGCACAATTGCCGTGCTTTCGCGTCAACAATTTTTAACGGTGCGCGCGATTTCGTAATCGGACATCCGCTTTAATTCTAATTGCGCTGTAATCTTAGGGACGATAATATTTTCCAATATCCCCCGGCTTTATTACACGCCGCGAATTAATTGATCAAACGTGACGTAGCACTCGACGTACGAGTCCCGGGATAATCGCGGTGCGAGCCTCCGCTATTTTCGACCTCGTGAGTTCCTACTTTCTTTCGAAATTTCCGCCCCGTCCACGGTGGGTCACTAATGCCGCTAAAACGTCTCATTCATCCGTAATGACGCGCGCGCATCATTACCGAATAATAACGCCGGTCACGAGATCCGTGATGCGCCGAGGTAACGATCGTGCCGGGTATTTCGGCTTCGTGGAAAGGGCAGCGAATTGTCTTCCGACGCCGCGGCGGACGAAGGTATCGCACCGGAATGACGTGTCGGAGTCGAAGAAACGATCCTGAACACGCGAGGAGCGACGTGGCGGAGCGAAGAAGCCAGTTTCCTGGCGTCGCCTCCGTTCCGACCGAGGTTATTACGTAAAACGGCGGGTTCCTTTCTGAAACCGTCGTGCCACGCCCGAGGATCTAGGACGAGGATCCGGGTCCTTTCTGCGTGGGCAAGGGCCCAAACCTCGAAAGGATGGCCGGCTCTCGTTATCGCCCTCGATGAGGGCTCTCGTTATTTCCAGATGGAAAACTGCCGAGTCTCACGGGACCGGCGTATAAATAGCGAAGCGAACATTTCGCCTTTCCATTGTAAATTAAGTACATCTCGAAAGACATTTCATTGCAGATTCCTCGAATTTCGAAGCTGCAGGGAAAACGATTTCTTTGGATTTTATCAATTTTCTTATATCCAAACAAATCATTTGTTTGAATTTGAAATAATATATATCTTCGTCTGAAATCAAACATTTGTTTGAAACAAAAGGTTTATTCTCCGTGATCTAAGTGATATTATTGTTTTATTCAAAGCAACATTATCGTTCGATAGAAATTATGTGAAAAAATGTACACACATACATCTTTTTCCCTCTACATCATAATTTTTTCTTCATTAGAAGAAGAAAGATAAACACTGAATTAGTACACTATGTTCAGCTATAAAGAATAGACCATTGGACGATCAGACTGCGTCTGCTAATACACAGAGAAAACGATTTCTTGGGATTTAATAAATTTTGTTGTATCCATAGCGTCTTTTCTATCGAATAGTAGAGATTGTTTGAATGAAACAACTAAATTTTTATTCAAACAAATAACGTTTTGTATAAGCATATGTTGTTTCAATGAAACAAATCTCGATCAAATAAATAGGAATGCTAAATCCAAAGGAACCTTCTTCTCCAAGCGTTTCAGTCCCATTGTCATATACGTACAGTGCAGCAGGCACATAGACACACTCGTTTTGATTTTTATAATTTTACATCTTCGCGCACTATTTAACAGGAGCAGGAAGAGCGATAATCCAAGCACGCTAACGGCAAGTCGGTTAACGATCGCTTTACGGTTGTCGTGGATCGTGATTTATTCGGTAATCGATCGACGGTCTCGCTCGAGGCTTCAACGGCTGACTTGGCGCGTCCTTTAACGGGTTGGAGCTGCTATTTTTTTTATTTCCTCCTTTCGAAACACGTCCTTGCCGGTGTCAAGTTCGCGCATAGTCCACGTAACGCGATAGTCTGTTGCGCGTCATTCTTTCCTTTTTTTTTCCTTTCGTGCCTTTCGTTCCTTTAGCGCGGCGAGCAAACGTCTGAGGGGCGCGAGAACAATTAGAGGAGATGAGACAAGAGGCACTATTTATATTAGCGACACGTAAATCGTATGTAGTGTCTATTGGTGTTTCAAATAGACTTGACGTTCTCTGCAAAAACGCATAGAAACGCATTTCAGAAGTAATTTTATTTACGACGGTTAGTTCTTAAACGTTAAAATAAAGAAGTAAAATCAAGTGTCGAGCAATCCTGCATCATTCATCTTTTGAATCCGCAATAGTCGCGTAGATTTGAAGAATAATTGGATATAAGGTCGACAAACTTGTACACATAAGTTCTGGCTTCGTGCGCGAAATCTTTACATCCAATAGAACGAGCGATTAGCTTAGCCAAGGTTTCTTGTCGAGGGATAAGTCATCGTGGAATACAAATTACGCCAGTTCGTATCAATGAATCGGCAAATAAACGCTTCTAATTGATGGACTTTAGACCCTGAGAAAATTGCTCGCCTCGCAAAAAACTGTGAGAAATTTATTTAAAATAAATGAGACGAAGTGCCATAAATCCTAATAAAAATACTAACGAATCCGAAAGTGGCGATTATAAGCTTCGCGGTCTTCAAATTAAATTTTATCTCTTCTATTCGTTGATTTAATTGTGAAATGTTTGAAAGAATCGAGGAAAGCCCGCTGATTGGCAGTCTAAATATTCGCGTATGGATCTTCTCTGCGGAAACTTGGAAGAGATCTCTCTCGCCGTTCAATGGACTTGATTCAATTAAAGAATTTCTCGATGCAAATCACGGCGGCGCCAAATAAAAATTGGCCAAATTATAATTGACAGAAGGCAGTTTAGTCGACCGCGGAGATGCGAGCGCGACTTATTCGCGAGCAGAATTTGAAGGAAATTCCGTTGAAAGAAATTTCGGATTATACGATTAAACGGGAATTAATCTGTAACGCGAGCAGGACGCGACGGCTCCAAGTAGTCCTGCTGAATTAAATCGGACAGCCGGAATCTCACGCCTGCCCCGTCCTCCTCTCTCGCGCGCGCACGCGAGAGAGAGAGAGAGAGAGAGACGCGCGCCTTCAAGAAAAATAATAGCGATAAATCCAGAAATTACGTCGGCCAGACTGCGCGCAGGTATGCGAAATTAGCGCCTCTAATTACGAAACCGACGAGGAACTATGCCCGCCGGGCAACCGGCTAGTCCTCCTGTCATTTCTGATTAATCGACGTCGATTTACTTAGGCAATACTTAAGAAGCCGAGACGAAGTACATTTGCCGTCACGCAGCCGGGTGTATAAATCGTACACTCCGGGGATCATCAGCGGGATTTTAGCAGCGCGGAGGATCCGCTAAACTCTCCATTTGGAGAGAATCGCGCATTCTTAAACGTTCTTCTCAAACAGAAATCGGCTGAGGAATCGTCTCACAATCGGACGCGAGTCGTAAATTTCGCGATTCTCTCGATGAAACGCGACTGATTATCGCGCGTTCGCACCGCATTTTCGCGTCGAAGGTGATCGACGTGTATTTATCTCGCCTATCTGAGACTTGAGGACGGCGATCGTATGCGTACAGAGGATTTCGTCATTCGACACACGCGGTTCGAGATTGAGTTCCCGTAGCGTCGTGCTCCGTGATGGATGACGGGTCCTTCGCATCCAGTCTAGGCGTATTTGCCGTCCCGTTTCCTCGTCTGGTTCTTCAACCTCCGCGAAGTAGTCTACGAAGTAGCCCCGGGGCCAGCTCTCGTAAATTCAATTTAAATATCTCGACCTTAATGATCGTCAGACGCGAGGAAGAAGGCAGAGTCAAGGTCGCAGTCGGCCTCCGATAAAAAGCACAATTTAATTGAGCAATTGGCAATCTCTTACTTATTTCAGGTATCTCTCTTGGCAATTTTATCTCTTTCCTCTATTTCTAATAAGTTTGTTTCGAAGACGCCGAGAGGTATCCAAGCGGACTAACGAGAGACGCAAAGTTTAAAAAAAAAATTTCCAAGTCAATTTCTTTTTAATTCCCAAGCCCGAGAGGAAACCGGGAGCTCGTGATCCCGTCGAGCTCACGTGAGTTCTTACTAATTCCTTTTGATTATGCGGACAAAATTAATGCACTGAGTGACGACGCGCTAATATACATAATATCCCGAAATTTTACGATACAATATGCATCGAACATACACACGCGCAACGCATACGTTTCTTTCACGGAGTTGTCTCGGTAAGATATTTCAATACCGCTCGATCTTTTAGAGACTACTGAATTTCAAATAATGATTTATGGATTTATATATTCCGCCAGGCGCATTAAAATTGATTTGCGTCATCGTGCTTGCAAGATAAAGA